TCCCTTACTGATCAAGTAAATAATAATAGCAATGGCAATGAATAAGAGTAGCTAAAGTTTTTTGAGTACTTTGCAGGAACCTACCATATAGTAAATGATTTATATGTATCATTTCCTTAAAACAATTCTCTAGGCTGCGTAACTGTTGTATTCCATTTAGTAGATGAGACTATTTAAGAATCAGTGGTTGAATTACCTGGTCAGGAGCACACAGCTAAGAACAGGTGAAGCTCAGACAGTCAGACTGCAGAGCCGGCTTGCCCATGCTGGCCATTACTTCTCTCTGAGCCACATTATAGCGCAAAGTGGCAGGAGAAATACAGAGGGGACAGGGCAGAAACAGCCTCAGCCTTTGGGTCCTCTCTAGTGGAGGGGGCAATCTGTGGGGCCAGGGTTGCCAATAAAATGCAGAACACCCAGTTATACTGAGTGATAAACTTGGAATATATTTTTTAGTATGTCTCAAATATTACATGAGAAAAACTTATAATAAAAGTCCTTTTTTTTAGTATTCCAAACTTTAATTTAACTGAATGTTAGAATTATGATTAAATAAACACATTTTTATTTATTTTATTTTTAGTACAAGTATGTCCAATTATTGCATGTAATGTACTCACCCTAAAAAAACATACCAGACTGCCTGGGATCGACGTATCCTGAAAAATATATTTCAGTGTTGATCTGAAATTTAGATTTCTCTGGGTATGTTACATGTTGATTTGCTAAGTCAGGTAACTTGCCACGGGGACATTTTTAGAGAACACTGGAAACTTCTATACAGTATGATCTTGCTCTTCCTCAGCCCTGAGGGTCTCTCCCCTCTCCTTCCCCTGCCCACCCCTCTCACCACTGCCTCACTGTGGCCAGGATGAACAGCCTATGACATGGTGGCAGAAGCTTCTAGAGATGCACCCCCCAGGCTGCCCAGAAGTCAACGTGGGCATAGCTCCCTCTCTGCGGGGTGCTCGGTGCTGGGGCACCTGTGCCTCTGGAGGCCTCCACTCCCCTCCTGGCTCTCTGTTTGCTCTGCCCACCCTAACCCTCAGCCCAGACATGTACTTCACTGATGTCCGTATTGCCACCTGCGAGTGGTGCTTGCTGATGGTCACTGGGGGTTCAGCAGAATTCACCTAAGTCACAGGGTAATGGCAGCAAGACAGTAGAGAACCTGGCTCCCTGTTTGTCCTCTCTCTGGGCCGGGCATTCACGGGCTGGGGGCGACCGTTGGGGTGAGGTGAGGTGGGGTGGGGTGGGATGGGCAAGGCCCTGGACACCCTGCCTGCGGCTGCCGCCTGTGTACTCCCCCGGCTATTTTAAGGCCAGACTGGTGAACGTTGGGTTCCCCTTTGTTTACCTAGGCTTTCAGTATTTTCCCTGGCAAATGCCAAGGTGGTCACAGAATGTGGGAAACCAGGCAAGGGAAAAAGCTAATGCTCCCTGGTGACGCCCCTGGTAGCTGCTGCTAAGTTCCATGGAAAAGACGGGGATTCGCTATCTGTGCCTGCGGTGGCTCCTAGAGCTTTCAGCCGCATTGGCACTTGCTCAGCTCCTGAGGCTGTGGAAACAGAAAACTGTTTGCAAACTCAGGCCTCTAGCCTGCCCGGTAGCCCCGGCTCCACCCATTCCCGCCGAGTGGCTTTGCGCACCGTGAATGCCCCTTTATCGTCAGCGAGCGATACTGGCTTTTCAAAAACACTGTGTAGGCCTTGTGTCCTGCATGCCTGTGGCAAGAAGGCTCTGCTTGCCTCTCAAGGGTGTTGCCTTAAAAACTCACCCAGAAACCTGGGGGAAAATATCTTGGCAGCTGCCCACTTGGCAGCTGGGGAGGTTCACTCCAATGGTCTTCTGTTCCTCAGTCCACTGGCCACAGGTTACCCAGTGGGCAGGATCGGGAGGGAAGGAGGTGACTTCAATACTGGGAACTGTGCAGCAGGTAAATCCACAGGGAATGCTCCCCACGTCACTTAGCCTCGCCTCTCCTGGTGAAGATGTAATCTGTCACCTTCTGTGATTGATGGGCCTTGCAGGAGAGGCACCCCCTGACCTGCAGGGTTGGCCCTCTGAGTGAGCACTGTTTCACGAGCAGCTTCAGTGGAAGCTAAGTCCTCCTGTGGGGCTGGAGTTGGGTGTGTGGCTGGGCGCTGCTCTGTCCCGTGGTTCAGGCATGGGCTAAATGCTTGCCACATACCAGGCACTTGGACAATCACCTTGCACATACCTTCACCCACGTGGTAGGGGTCACTGCACCTGCCCTCCAGACACCAGGCTAGGAGCTTGACCGTGCACCATGAGGTCAGCCTGGAAAACCTCCTGAATTGTATCTTCCTTTCTCCAAAACAGGAGAACTTTGCTCTTGAGATTTTTTTTTTTTTACCCACTTAATGGTAGCTTCATTTATTCTGGAAAAATAAGCCAGAACCATAGTTGAGCGATTCATCATTTAATACACATTCATAACCAAGTTCTGTTCCGATACAGGTGAGGTATTCCCATGACTCTGTAGTCACATCTAGTGACAGCGTTCTCCAGTTCCACCCACATTGTGGCACGTGGCAAGACTTTCTTTTTTAGGGTGCATAGTGTTCCGTTGAGTGTAGACCACAGTTTCTTTATTCGTTCATCTGTTGATGGACGCTTATGTTGATTCCGTAATTTGGCGATAAGAAAAGGAGAGGCGATGGCCTAAGCGTACACGGCCTCAATTAATTTTTAGAAAACTTTGAGAAACATGGCACAGTGTGGTGAATATGGTAAATAATAATGTACGTTTCAACATTGCAGAGAAAATAAATTTAAAATGTTCTCATCGCAAGGAAAAATGAGAAGTTCTTGAGGTTCTGAATATGCTAATTAGCTTGAGTTCATTCCACAATGCATTCATAAAACACAACATCACTCTGTACACCACAAATACCTATGGCTGTAATCTGTCAATTTATAATTAAAAATAAAAAGTGAAAAGAAAGATTCTCTTAGTGTGAAGAGGAGATCAAAGCTGCACAGTAAGAAAGGAGAAGAGCAGGGGGAAGGACGTGGATAGGACCTGAGAGCTAGCTAGGTAGAGGGTTTTTTAAATTTTTTAAATTTTAATCAAAACAAATTTTCACACAGGTGAAGCCTGTGTAAGATACACAAATGAGAGGGTCTATAAGGGAGACTGTGAAAAGTCAGTCCCCTCCTGCCCTGGATTCTAGTCCTGTTCCCTACTGTACAGGCACCAGCAGACAGTGCTGCTGAATATCCTTCCAAAGTGTATCATTTACAATCTAGAGAGAGAAGTAGAGAGAGAAAGGGATGTGTAGGGAGATGACTGTATATACTATTAGGTACTTGAATAGTTTTTACTCAAAATACAGGTTGGGGTCCTTTTATATCAAGACACACGTACTTACATACCAATACAAGGTCCCTTTCATAACGAGTCATAGAGTGTTATTATTTTACCTCCCTCATATTCCTTTAAGGAACCATTCTGTGAATTTCTTCTCCCATTATGGACACTTAGACCTTTCACACACTATCTTCTCCTATTAAAAACATTGCCGGCACATACAGTTTTCTGTATATCTGGAAATATATTTGCAGGACAAATTCCCAGAAGTGGAATTGGGTTGAGGAGGTATGCATTTGAACTCGGAGAGCTACTCGGGCTGATATTAAGTTAGCCACAGTCAATATCCTTTAGATACTGGTCTTTGCTCCTGATGTCTAGAGCTGTGTCCCTACTTGGGAGGCAACAGATGCAGATGGCTCAACTCCACCTTCCCAGTGGGCATGATAGTAGGGCGTACCTGGGGGCTTGTTAAACATAGGACTTCCCTGTCCCTCTCTCCACACCACTGAACAGAACCTTCAGAAGAGGCCTGTGAAATACCTTGAACACCCCTGAGAAACTGTTGGTTGGCCTGAAGAGGCCATGTCCCAGGTTTTGGTACAAGTTCCAAGTAGACGTGATTCAGAGTTGGGAAAGTGATAGGAAATCCTTCCAGGATAGGTGTTTGAAAGGGCCAATGAGCTAGGGTGGGTTCTGCTTTGGAAATATTTCTCAGGACCTGGCCACTTCTTTCTGGAATGGGTAAGGTATGAGGTACACCAACGCAGGTGGTCAGGTGGGTAGGCAGAGGGTGGGGACATGGGAACACTTGAATGCATTCCAATTTTATTTCCCATTTATGGAATTTATGACCCTATAACCACTTTGCCCTCCAAGAACTACTCCTTACAGTAATCACATGACCTACTGATCACGTGTCTGCTGGTCCCTTTGCCCACCCTCTGCTCTAGAGTGTACACATATGATCTTTGCTCCTCACAACAACAGTGCCCTCTGGCTGATCGTTTTCTATTTCCTCATTTCAAATGTGCAAACTGAGGCTCCCTGTGATGAGGTGACATGCCCAAGTTCACCATCCCATGGGTGGTAAAGCTAGGACTGGAATTCAGGTTCACCAGACTCCAAGATCAGAATCTCTGTCAATGCACTACACATACTTTAAAAAGGATTATAGGAAAAAAGCCACAAGCATGAACAGGGCCCAAGGTGGACAGTTCACCTACACGTTCTTACCTTGGAACAAATGAAACATTATTTTAGCACAGAGAGTAAAATTTGCCCTAATTCTAAAGATAAAAATAGGAGCTAAAAAACATTTCTTACTGTCTGCGGATGATTCCTAAACTGCCCGAAGTCTCGTTTCTCTTCCGTCTAAGCACTTAGTTGGTTAAAAACTTTGAGGAATACTGCATTCTGTTCAGTCACCGACAGTCACCTCTCAGTTTGTACACCTAACACAAGACATGCCATGGAAAACATTGGTACCTTCAGAACAGCATGGTATCAAAACACCTAAAGCAAACACTGTTAGAATGTGCAAGGATAGTTGGGCAAGAAAACACACTTGTAAACCGAAATAAGCACAAAACCACAAAAGCAGCCCAGGGAGTAACTTCTGTTGAAAATGGCTCCTTCCCGAATCTCTCTTTCCTTCCTTCCTCAGGTCTGTGTGGTGGGGCCCCTGGAAATCCCCAAGAGCAGTCACCAGAGTGCACCATACCAGAGACGCCTACAGCCGGAGAATTTACACCACTGGAAAGATCTGCGACATCTCACAGACTGAGGCTGAGGAGTGTATCTGGTTTCTGCAGCAGAACAAAATGGCGGCCTTTTTTCCTTCCATGAAAGGAGACCTCACGAGGCCGGTAGGTTTCCTATTAGATTGTTGGCAAATGAATGATCTTGTCTCTTATCGACTCTGACTTTTAAAAAGGATGTGGAAACACAGCCACTATTTTAAGTACTCAGTGAGACAGAGAAGCTGACACCATAGCAGATTGCTGCTACTGCTGTAACCATGGTAATAATTGTCACCTCTGACATGTCAGGGACAGTCACTATAAGCACAGAACCAGAACAGTGGTTCTCAGCCAAGGGCAATTTTACCTCCCCTCCTTCAGACCAGGGAACAAATAGAAATATCTGTGTGACACTTTTTTTCACGACAATGAAAAGGGTGGTGGTTGGTCGAGTGGGTCAAAGCCAAGGATGCTGCTGAACTCCCCGTAGTACATAGGACAGAGCCACCCACCCACCCCCACGAGGAATTATCCCTCTGAAAAATGTCAATAGCATTACAATTCAGGAAACTTGCAATAGACCAAGGCTTCTGCACATCATTAAGTTTCCAAATAACCAGACGAGGTGCATCTTATTATTGTCCTCACTTTCTAGATGAGAATATTTAAGCTCAAAATAACTAGCTCCAATGGTTTGGCCTTTTGAACACGCTCAGATTTCTTTCTTGAGATGTCTTTGGTCCAGTGATCATTCCAGAAGATCTTGCTTTGTCCCATGGTGGGGAATCGGTTCCTTTAAATATCAGTGTGTAAATTCTTCAGCTTGAGCTGACTCAACCCTCGTTCCATTCTGGGATGATTCTGGCTAACATCTGGTGGCTGAAGAAGGGGACAGAAGATATTATATAATGTCTACAAATGTAGTGAAACATTGACTTAACTGCTAAGATAAGCAACCAGGAAGATAGGGAGTGACAACACACTGATTCAAACACACGTTGTCTGGGCATGGTATCTCGAGCATGTTCCTACATCCTCTGGTCTTTACTCCCAACCTCTGATAGTGATGTGGCATGTGCTGTGGAGGAAACTGTGGTCCCCATGCCACAAGACTCAGACGGGGGAGACAATCTCTGTACTGCAAACTTCTACAGAATTAGGTCATTGAATTCCAAGAGCGTTGGGTCTCCGGAAGACAACTTTTGTTTCCCTTTTTCCCTTTTTGATAAATGCTAAGCTCCTTGTCAAAATATTTATGACCCAAGACAGGAAAGTCAGACTTTTTCTCTTGAATCTTTTCTCGGTGTCTGGTTTGGATGTTCTATTTCTTTTCTTTCCTCTGCTACTTTTTCTAACCCTTTTTCTTTTCCTTTCTTCCCCCCATGGTTCTCCCTATTGCCATCTTTTTCTAGAAGAAGGGAAATGAGGAGCAATGTGTAAAATAATTAGATTGACCACCTGCTGGGCCAGTCCCTGCAGTTGGGCCTATGAGGGTAAAGACCTTTCTCATGTCATGAGGAGGCACCGGCTTTGAAGTCTTCTGGAAATGAATGGAAACCCCCTGAAAGCCTTTGAAACACAATCTGGGTACTGTCGGGTATAAATCCAGATTTTTTTTTTTTTTTTTTTTTTTGCGTTTCATAATTTTCAAAATTGTTCTGCCCTAACCAGCCATCGGCTTTGTCCTGCTGCTCATGCATATTTAAATACTATTGTTATCATCTACAATAACCACATCAATGAAACACAAAAAGTAGAGGTTAATTTAAGGGACATTTGTTAGTCATGGGTTATGGCTGCGGGAGGCATTAGTGTGGGTATGTTATCTCTTCTGCCTGGATGAACTTAATATTTTGGTGGGGAAAAGGAGCTAAATAGACATCCAGTTGTCATAATAGGGAGAATGTGTTAGTTATCCAATGCTGTGTAACAAATGACCCCAAAACTTAGTGGCTTAAGACAACATGTATTTATCATCTTATGGTTTCTGTAAGTCAGGAATTTAGCCATGGCTTTTCTAGGTCCTCTATCTCATGGTTTCTCATGAGTTTGAAGTCAAGGTGTTGGCCTCTGGTTTGTTGTCCCACCTGCAGCCTCCACCAAGGAGAGATTCACTTCTAAGCTCACCCGTGGAGTGGCCAACAGGATTTGTTTCTTGGATGGCTGTTGGCCTGTTGTTTCTGGTTCCTCACTGGCTGCAGACTGGAGCCCATCCTTGGTTCCTTGACACATGGGTCTCTTGGCCCTGCAACTCTCGTCATTAAGCATATGAGCTACAGAAGTCATTGAGAGAGATTGCTAACAAAAGCTGCAACTTTATATAACCTGATTTTGGAAGTAACAGCCCACTGATGGTGTGTCCTCAATTGCTTAGAAGCCCATGTTCATGAGCAGCCTATTACATTAGGTCTTGGGCACCATAAGAGGAGATTATTGGTCGCTGGAGCTTGGTTTACCTACCACATAAGGTTTAGGGAATTACAGAGTATGTTTAAGAAGCTGTAACTCTCTGTACACAGGGCATGGTAAGGAAATCTCATCTTTAAAAGGGGGTGCTTTCTGACTGTACTGAGACTGGACTGCTCCAGAAGGTTGGGCACCTACCCAGTGATTAGGGGAATAACTGAAGTCTTATAGAATTTGTGACTGTGACCTTGGTAGTGACCACCTTAGGTATTATGTCCCCAATCATGATGAAAGATGGAGTCTTCCTGGTGTCCCCAGAGTCACATTAATGGTGGTTCTATTACCTTTTTGTCTCAAAAAATTTCCGTAGACAAAGGTCATTAAGTTGTTCATGTATTCACTCATTTTATGTTTTGGGTAATGCTAGGTAGTGAAACTCAAAAACAAATACCTTTGAGGAACTGGATGATGAAACGTGGTGATGGATAGGATTTGTCTTTGGGGGCCTCTCCTCAGTCTAGACTAGGAGTGGACCTGACCTGGAGAGTGGGCCAGGGTGACTAAGTCTGCCCCTACCCATCTGTTTTTGTATAGCTTGACAGACAAAAATAATTTTTACATTTTTCTTAATGTTTCAAAAACAAAGAAGAGCTGTATTTTGTGACCCATGAAAACAAGGTGTGAGTAGAGCATTTGCGATGTAGCTACATCTATTTATTTACTGTAGCTACATCTATTTATTTACATATTTTCTGCTGTAGACCAAATACTTGAGTTCTTCTGGAAACCTAATCCTCAACATGTTGACCTTTGGGGTTGGGGCCTTTGGGAGGTGACTGGGGCCCTCACAAGTGGTATTAGTGCCCTCATGGAAAGACTGAAACGCCTCCCCTTCTGCCATGCAAGCACATAATGAGAAGGTGCTGCCTATGAACCAGGAAGTGGGCCTTCATCAGAAATGGAATCTGCTGGTTCCCTGCTCCTGGACCTCCCAGCCACTAGAACTGTGAGAAATAAACTTCTGTTTTTTATAAGCCACCCAGTCTATAGTAATTCTCTTATAGCACCCTCAATTCACTACGTCGATATCAGAGGTGAGTAATTGCTACTCACAGAGCCTGAAATATTTACCCTCTGGATCTTCTAGAGAAAGTGTGCCTACTTTTGGTCTAAAGGAAGATAGACATGCAAATAAGTAGTCATTGCACTATGGTGGGTGATATCCTAGACTTACAGACAAGGGGCATCAGTAGCACAGGGCAGGAGTTTGCAGGCTTTGTGGGGGGGTTTTCTTGAGGATAAGCAGAAGTTTTTTGTTTTTTTGTTTTTTTTAAATGGGAGGAGAAATGAGAGAAAGGACAATGTGTGTCAAGGGCCTTTGAGTTAAAGAGTGAAGTGCTCCCTGTAATGGCTGGAAAAATCTGTGTTTATGTGCATCTTTGTGTGTTCCTCACCAGAGAGACAGAGGGGAGAGAGAGAGAGAGAGAGAGAGAGAGAGAGAGAGAGAGAGAGAGAGAGAGAGAGAGACTACCCTTTTAACATATTTTCAACAGTTTAGGAACCACTATTGTGGGAAGACATAATGGCTCCCGGAAAGTCACAGAGGTATAACAGAGGTAAACTTGGGAGGGCCAGTGGTGACATCAATGAGAACACAGAATAGATTTCTATGGGGTGTAGAGGGAAATGAGGCTAAGAAAATGTCCCTGACCATCAGTGGGCTAACCCAGCACCAGAATGGGGCAGAGTTCTGGGACTGACTCAATACAGACTAAAGGACTAACTGCTACAAGGATACTGAACAAAACCAAGTGAAACCGATTTGATCTTTGTTTTCAAGTGGCTGGTCCATCAAAGGCGGCTGAAGGATAGGTAAGAACTCAGCGGGCTGCAGGTGGGTGGTGGGCTAGCAGCTCTTGTGTTAAAGCTAGAAGAGGTGGCCAGATCTCCAAACTCCAACAACACTGGTGGAATCTGCCTCTGTCCTAAGACAGTCTGAATGGTTTGCAGTCAGCACAAGCCGCAGCTCCCAGTTCCCGAGCTGGGTCTTTACACTTGATTGTACGGTGGTCGCACAGACCAACATGGAACTCCCTGAAACAGGGAGGAAGAGCGTCTGGGACCAGGAAAAGGAGGCTCTGGACATGAGGTGTGCAGGGAGGTGGATGGGAGGTAATGGTTTTCACCAGATTCCTTTTTATATTTTATTTAGATTAAGTTCTGCTCAGCAGGGTGATTTCTTAATTAGAGCCGCCCAGCCAGGCAGACCTCCAGCCCGGACCCCTGTGCTGCCTTCTAAGGTTTCATGAGGGACTTGTCCTGCCTTATTTCCTGAGTTCTAATATTTGAATAGTATGCAGTAGATTTCAATGGGAGGAAAAGACATGTAATTTAATCATCTTTATTAGATTTTGCCTGTGGATGGGGAGAGAAGGAGGAAGGAGGAGGGACATGGGTCCTCTCTTTGTTAATTTTATTTTTCTATTTCTCTACTTTTCTTCCAGTGGTCAAGGAAGAAGAAGAATCAATGGCCTTTTTTTTTTCTTTCTCCTTCTTCTTTTTCTAAACAAAGAAGCTAAATGAGAACACTAAGCCCGGAGGAGAATTATGCTCGTGGCAGGACTTTTCGAGGTCTGGTGGAGCTGTTCATATAAACAAATTATGCAGTCCCTCCTTGGGTGACCTGGATCCTGAGAGTGAGTTTGGTGGCCTCACAGCTTTCCATCCTCTCCATCACTGCTTAAGTGGCAGACGGGGGAGGAATATGGAGTCCAAAAAGGTCCATGTGTATTCTCCTGCCCTATCACAAGTTTGCACTGTTTGGGCCAACCTGTGGGAGAGAAAGCCTGGCCTGTAGGAGCAGGGAGAGATCAGGAGTCAGCACCGGGAGGAGGAAGAGGGGAAGTCTGTCCCATTGCCATCTGGGGAAGGTGTGTCCCTGATGGGATGGGAGAAAAAAGAGCAAGCAGTCCAAGGGGTGATTTAGGGGAAATTAATCCACTGGAGTTTTTCAAGAAAGAAAGGAAGAATTCAGCACAGCTCATCAAAAAGGGGAAGACTTGGGTCCAGAATTCTCCTGTTCTCCTGCCAAATGCAAACACACGCATGTGCACACTCGGCCCCTGATGACCCACCCCACTTGTACCCCTGTCCTCTTGGTCTTTCCTCACTTAAAAATCATCTGGCAAAGGGGTTGGTTACTACTCATTTAGGAGGATCCCAGCATTACCTTTATGTTGGCTTCGGGTGAAAGGGGACCCAAACTTTTCAAAACGTCTGTTTTCACAGATAAAACACAAAGGCAGAACTTCACTGGAGGAGATGGGGGTGGCGCATTTCCTTCTGAGCAATGGCAAGCGGCAAGCTCATTTGGAATTTCCCTTACCAGAACATTTCTCTGCGCATCAATTTCAGGAGGATTTTTAGTTAAGAATCACAAAGTTTATCTATGCAGAGATGGGGATTCCTGCTAAAGCCAGAGAAGATGCTTGTACTAGGACACCTTATGGCTGATCTCAGGCCTCTCATTGTTCGAAACGCTTAGTCTGAGAGTCCTATTTATGTACCAGATATCTTTATTAAATCATTATATTAACAGAAAATTTTCCCATTACAATGAGTTTCTCCCTGGGATCAAAAGTTGTCCACAGTCCTGCTGATGGCCTACGTATCTTGAAATTTAAAAAGGTGAAATTCCAGGGAAGTCCAACATCCGGACAAGTTTTTCCAAAATGAACTGTGCTATGGCTGGAGGGGTTGCTATGTCTTAGCCAGGAAAAGGCCCACGTCTTCTCAAAGCAGTTGTCTCTAGATGGAAAGAAAATGAAAAATAGGCCTCCCATCCACCCATGGCAATGTAATCGTTGGCAGCATTCTAATATGATTTCACCTGTGGAGACCCAATGGGTCTTGGATTTGAAAACCCAAGTGGCAAATTAACAAGCTGCACTGTACCAGTGAATCCAGGGCTGCAGGGTGAGAAATAGCAAAGTTAGGAGAAGCAGAGCGAGGTGTGTTTGTGTACTGGATTTTGAAATGAACTAAACACACACGCATGTGCATGCACACACACACACACACACACACGATTTTCAAATGTGAAATTAATCCATGTTTATTACAGAGAGGACCCACCGAACGCATAACATGACCATGGGGAAAGCACATTTGCTGGGAGCTCTGGATTTATAACCTTTTCATGGAAGAGAGCTCTAAGGACTGAGTCAGGGAATAGGGTGGAAGCCTGAGGCTTGAGGGAGATAGGGGAAATTTAAAAAGAGAAGAGACGTAATGCAGAGGCTCCAAGTGCTGCTACTTGGGAGAAATGGGGCCTGGGGTATCCAAAGCACAATCAGCAGAGGGGTCTGCGTGTAGCCTCAGCTGTGGTCTCTGCAGGAAGAAAACCTTGAGCAGCACAAAGCAGGTCCCAGGGAGGAAGGATAAATGTGGCTGATGTCGGGCAGAGAAAGTGGAACATGCCAAGGCTCAACCCTACAGATACGATCCCAGTCCTTTGGCATTTCAAAAATTATCAGTCCAAATTGCTTTTCTTGCTCATTCCAGATGCCTCCATATCTGACTCGATTACTAAGTACCAGGCCATGTTAAAAATAAACTTTTGGGAGTCCAGGGTGATTTTTTTTCCCTCTTTTCTCTTTCATTGTAATGGCCACATTCTCATGGCCTGACATTACTTGAGGTCTGGCTTAGATTAGCCCCTGACTGAGAGACCCAGGCTAATTTAGTGACTGCAATTATGCCTGCCTCTAATCGAGTTCTGCTCTTTGTAGCACATGTCCTCTGAGTGGTTTTTCTCCAATAGAAGCCGTGGCCGTGCCAGGCCATCTATACCTTCTTGCCCCAGGCCTCTTATGACATACATCGGTGAGACAACTGGCCAGGATTAGGGTTATGATCTGTGACCCTGAAACAGAGTGAAATTAATTGGCAACAAGGGGACTGAGCCCATGAAAATCATAAGGGCCGTAAGTACTCTAATATATGACCCCAACTGCTGCAGACCGGCACCTGCTGCCCAGCCATGAAGATTCTTTCCATAATAGAATTCAAAAAGGAAAACAAAGTTTCTCTAAGTGCCAGCGTTTTTGCTTGGGGTCTTTTACAGGTAGTCTTTGGACTTGAGATGTACGTGTCAAGTCAGCATTGATGATAATCTTTAATCTCAGCCTGCAGAGCCTCGTGGAGAGGAAATAAGCTGCATAACTTAATGCTAGCAACTTAAAACAATGTGTAGTCATAAATGAGAGTGGGTGGGTGCAAGGGTGGGTTCCCCTCTTCTCTGGGTAAAACAGCACAAGTAACAAGTTTAGGGTTTCTAAAGAAGAGATGGTACATTGAAAATCAATCAATTCTAAATCCCTATAAAATATGCATTAAGAAGTGCTTCCTCTCGAGCACACCTGAATATTATTTATTAACAGAAAGAAATAGGTGCTGCATGCTATCTTGGAAACCACCCTCCTGCTTCTAGATTCACAAAGGATACCAGGAAGGTTTGCACATGTGCACTAGGGGGAGTGGGGCAGAGGGAGGGCCAAGGGCTCTCCATGCCATTATCCAGCTCTGTTTCATTCTTCCTGGGGAGGAGGGCTTGGCCCAGAAGCCACAGGAGGCTGGAGAGTCTTAGAGGCTGAGGGCAGGAAGGGGAGGAAGTGAGCAAGGGGGCTGGTGCCCGGGAGGCCTCCGGGAGAGTAACCAATTCCTTCACTGGGGGCAGGTGGGAGTCTCCAGGGTCATTCTGGTGCAACCTGTGAAGGGAGGAGAGGAAAGAGGTTTCCGGAAGTCTCCTGCTCTCCCTCCCGCCTGCCTCCCTCCTTCCCCTAGCTGCTGGTTGCACGGAGCAGCGGAAGGAAGGATGTATCAAACTGAAAGAAGAAAGAACCCCTGCCAGCCGGCCCCCATGACCCTAGACTCTGAACGGCAGCAGTGTGGGGCAGCACAGGCTGCAGATCAGCAGCAGCCAGGCTGGGAGGCCAAGCCAACTCTGCAAAAGTTGTTTTCTTTAGCAGAAAAGAAGGGAGGCACAGGTTTCATATCAAAGGAAAGGGGAGCTCGTCTGTGGCAATATGACATCAGGGCCTGGGCTGTGGGGAAGATGTCAGTCAAACCCCAGCTGGGTTTCTCCACCGCCTTTCTGTGGTCCTTCTAAAAAATATGCAGGTAAAAATGAGGTCTGACTCCAACTCCTGCAGTTAGTGATGCTTAATTTCGATTTTGCAAGGACTCCCCCTATGGGAGAAGGGAATATGAATGTTTTTTTTTTTTGTCTTTATGAGTGCATTGTAGTTATACATAATAGTGGGGTTCATTTTGACATAATCATAGAAGCAGGGAATATAATTTGCTCCATTTCAGTCCCTAGTACTCCCTCTTTCCCTCCTTTCCTCTCTCCCCCCATTCCTTTTCCTCTACTCTACTGGCTAACTTATTTATAGGTTTTCAAAATTAGCACTTTATAGATATACATAGAGGTGAGATTCACTGTGGTCTGTCCATATATCCACATAGGGTAGTTTGACCAGCCCATTCCATCTCACCTCCCGTTTCCCAGTCCTTCTCCCCGCGCCTCCCATCTCTCTCCTTCCTCTACTCCATGGATCTTTCTTCTATCCTCATGGGAGAGGTGAGTCTTAATGAGCTTTAACACACAGGGCATGGAGGCAGGAGGGGAAAAGGCAAGAGAAGGCTTCAGAAGTTTCTTGGGGATAAATGATGGGTTTGCAAATTCGCATTTAGTCAAGGGACAGCTGGGAGCACCAGCGGCTCATGTTCTCTATTTCTACCACTTTCATCCACCCGAGCAAAGCTGTGAGGACAGGCAAGCCTCTTCCTCCTGAATTTCCAGGTACAGGAAGAGAAACTGACTGGGAGTAAAGGATGCTCTTGATCATGCAGGACGAAAAGGAACCAATTTGTGGTCGTGATACCTATTTCTGCACATTCTCCAGGCTTGCCTAGGAGAGTTCTGGGAAAATGAGTCAGAACTGGTCGTTATTGATGTCCATCCTATTCCCTGACTTGGTTGTCAGTGTTTTCTCCAATCCCCAGAGCTCACTGGGGGGAAATAAGGGTTGTTATTGAACAAACTAGCACTTCCACATTCTTCTCAGTGGTTTTGTGTCTGCTAGCTCCCAGGAAGCTGCTGCTACTTCATTTTGTTTTGTTTTTGTTTTTTTGCCTCTTAAAGCAAAGAAACTTTTAGTTTGCTCTCTTTGGAATGTGTCATTGCTGGATTGCTTCTCTTCCGTCCTACAAAACCCTAATCCTCTTATTTTTTGGTTGGGGAAGGGTTGGAATTGGGGGCGTGGCTGTTGGAGATGGAGGGAATTTGGACTAGGCCTTCCTCTGACAGCCTGCACATCTTCATTCATCTCCACAACTTCTGTAAGAGATCGAGCATCCATTCACTCACTGATCCTTTTAGTCATTCAAGTAGCCATCCTGTGCTTTGAGTAGAGTAAGGCTGAACAGCAGCCTTAAAATGTCTGTCTACTGAAAGATTGACTTTCTTCTCTCACCAGCCCAGCCAGGCTTTTGAGAGAGTGTTTCTTGGGACCAGATGGAGAAGGCATGGATCACTCTGTTGCAGGGGAGCTCTGACAAGTCCCTGCCCTTCCTGATGATGGGCTTCTGAAACACAGGGAGATGCAAAGTCTCCCCCAGGGGACGGAGGATGGGGCTTTTGAAAATCATGGCACAACAGCCACGTGGAGCAAGCACACAGCAGCTCACAGAAAGCCTCCAGGTACTCTAGCAGAATGAGAGTGGACATGAGCGTAATGGCACTTCCAAAGTCCTGGACACATGGCGGGTTTCTCCCAACGTTCACAGTGCTCACCACTGTAATATCTGTGACACAACCTCCCAAATGATCAGAAGACCCAGTAAGACAAATGAGGGCAGCTCTGAAAGCCCGCTGAGTTGGCTTTTTGCCCTGTGTTGGTGCTTCCGCAGAGGCCCTGGTGTGGAAGGCTGGGTGGCCAGTCCATGGCATTCCTAGCAAGTAGTGGACCCTGTAAGAGGTGGGGCCTAGTGGAAGGAGTGAGGTCACAGGGGGTGTGCCCTTGAAGGGGATCCTGGCATCCCTCTTCTTCCAGTCTCTCTCTTTGCCCCACTGAGTGTCCTGCATTGAGAAGTTCTGCCTCCCCACAGGCCTAAAAAATAATGGCGCCATGACTATGGATTAAAACTTCTGTCTCTGCGAACCAAACTAAGTCTTCCCTCCTTTGTTGATGTATTTCAGGGGTTTTGTCACAGCGATGGGAACCTAACATGGTTGCTCACCTGGTACAGTTGTCCAAAACAGAGACAAAACAGGAACTTAGAAAATCAGAAGAAAGTGGGGGTGTAGTGCACACCCGTAATCCCAGCCACTCTGGAGGCTGAGACACGAAGATTGCATGTTCAAGGTCAACCTGGGCCAACTTAGTGAGATCCTGTCTCAAAAATAAAAAGCCTGGGAATGTGGCTCAGTGGTAAAGTACCTCACCCTCAATAAGCAAAAAATAAAAATAAATAAATAAAAATAAACATCAGAAGAATGATGATATGACGATTTTAGAGATCAAGTCTGGTGTCAGGAGTTTTGGCTGTCTCTGTTCCTATGAGTGTTTTCTTGGACCTAGAGTCAGCGTTCAAAACAAAACAAAAACATTCTCCCAGCTCCCAAGTCCTGACCCTTGTGTCATCTATCATTAAAGTCACAGGATCCATAATTATAGGACTCAGAACTGAGTTAATCTAGGAGGGACAAATTGGGGCACATTCTATTTTTGAGGGCCATTTCACATCTAAATGTCTTTGTCCGTGATTTATGATCTTCTGTGATTGTTTATTTAGTTTCATTTGTCTTAAGAAAAAAAAAAAAAAAAAAGATGGCCTGTGAACAGCAGCAGGACATCTCTAGGGCCTCATCTGAGACCCAAGCATAATGACCAGGAATGTGACACATCCCCAGCCAGCTGGTCACAGTCTGGAAATACCACCCTCCAGGACAACTAGCATTCTGGGGGGTGTATGGGACGGATCAGCAAACTGGGCTGATCCAGATGGATTCCTCCTCCACATTCAAGCATCTTGGGTTGGAGAAAACCCCAACCAACCACTTTGAGCCTTGGGCACTTTTTCCATTAATTTTTAAAAACTGATGTGCCTGTCCAGGGAAATTTGATACCTAGGTTTGTGATTCATTTACACTTAACTCATCAAAATATTGTTCTGTGAGTAGAGATTCGTGTCCAAGAAATCTTAAGAGCCTTTTTATAAGCTTTTAAACTTCTTTGAAACGTTAAGAAACAGAAGTAGCAGTCTCCCCATTGTAAACAGGAGTGAATCCCTGGTTGGGGGTGGGGAGGACGCGAGGCCTTCAGGCTGGAGGCCGGTGGAAAGAAGGCGCCAAGACACACTGTCCTTGGTCCCCAGGGACGGAACCCGAGGCCAGTTCTTTCCAGTGCTCCCCTAGGTATGCACGTCTCCCCCACAGACTGGGGCTCACTGCTGGTTGCATCTTTGTCATTCTGAAGGCAAAGGTAAGGATTTTGGGGGGTCTTGCGGTTGGCAGAGAAAACCCCCAAGTGTTCTGCAGAGAAGGATGATAGAGACTCGCAGAATTTCACTTCCAGGCAAGACCCACCCCCTCCTTCTTTTCCCCCTTCAAAGAAAGGGTTCATAATGTGTCTTTTCATTTATAATTTTATGAAGGTCTCAATTGAACATGTAAAGACAGTGGAAAAATTCTGAGTTGCTATGGATATTTGGCATTCTCCCCACTAGACTAAAATCTACTTTCTCTCCCCAAGCAAAATGGTTACGGAGATTCCAATAAAAGGGGGTGGAGGCCAGCGAGGCCCACAGTCTGGGATCAGAGTCTTGGTGAAATTTATTTATATTTTAATCCTTCGAATATGATCTACTTAGGTGTTCACTGTTTCCCTTGGCTTCTGACGTTGGAGGAGAATTCCTTTGCATTTCAGAATGCTTGTCACTGCTGTGGATGAATGCTCTCGAGTTCTATCTTATTTTACCAATGGATCTGCAGGGTGCTGCCTATCACGGAAACCAGCATCTCTTCTCTAGGTTGGTTGGTTTGTTCTGCATTGTTCTTATGTTCCTCATTGTCTTAGAAGAGGAGAAGCTTGAGAATAAAAGAAATCATCAATGATAAAATTTTCTTCAGTGTTTGAATCTATTTTTAAAAAAGTCCTTATCATTTATATTAAACTGATGTGATTCTGCAATCTGTATATGGGGTAAAAATGGGAGCTCATAACCCACTTGAATCAAATTGTGAAATATGATATATCAAGAACTATGTAATGTTTTGAACAGCCAACAATAAAAAATTAAAAAAAAAAAAAGAAAAAAACATTTGAATTCAGAAAGAGCAAAGGAAAATGTGAGACAGCATTTCAGATGAGTCTAATATAATATTTATTAAGCGGAGGCTTTTTTTTTTTCCTGAGTCTGAGTTTTAAGTTATTGACATCAGCCATATCTGCTTTTTTGCCTGCTTTTAAACAGATTCATGTTTCTCAAAGGCTGATGTTTTACTCAGCTTGGGATACATTCTTTTCTATTCTCTTACATAATTTTGGGTGCATTGAGTAAGACCTTTTATACACTGGGAAATTGGAAGGTATTAAAGTCACACAAGAATTGGAGGCAAAGTCAGGCAATCCCCTTGTTCATTCTGTAGGGCCAACATATTTTTTTGAATCCACCACTTTTCCTGTGAGCCCAGGGACAATACAGGTCCTTGTATGTGCATCCTTTGCAAGGACTTTTCCAACTGGATTCTCTTAAGGCTCATGTTCTGGAACCTGGGCAAGCACATGCTACTGTCCTGCCAGCCCAGGGGGTAAGGAATGCTGATGGTTCTGGGTTGTCAGACTCAGAGGTGGAGACTTTGGAAAAAATCAGATGTAGAAATTCTTCCAGGAGTTTCAAAAGAAATATAAAAAACATCCTTGTGAAAAACAGAACAAGCTTCTTGGCATTTTAAGATACTCATCCACTACTATTTGTACATTGTTTTCTAAGTTAAATTTCAGACTATATTATATTCTCTCTAACGATACTATTGTTTATTTCACCATGTTCTTTGTATTCTTTTTTTTTTCTTCAAGAAAAAAGTTAGTATACATGTATCTATTAAGACTGCCATTGCTTTTGTTTTTAAAATTCTTTTTGAATGACGAATTTTACAACATCCCCAAAACCTTAGGTGTGGAGTACATATCTTATACTGTCATAAAATATCAATACTAGTTTCCGATGCTGCTTTTGGGCTACTTGAAATGATTATTTGGCAAAGGAAAGTCTTGCCAGTAGAGAATGAGGGGGTACACATTTTCATCAATGTTTTTTACTTTTTTCTCTTGAGTCAAAGTTCCTATAAAAAGAAAATCAACTGATATTAAAATGACTAACTTATCAAATAGTTACTGTTGGCTACCTTTCCAGTTGTTCCATTGAATTGTCATAATTTTCCTATTTTATAGCTGAGAAAACTGTGCAGATATTGATCAGATCAACAGCACGGCAGCTCATGGCGCCTTTGTACTGAGGGATGTCAGTTGGACAGTGCTCTGTTATGATGCTCAGGCTAACCTGTCATTAGAACATAGTGCTTCTGGGCCGAGAAACAGAGCTGTTTATGTTTTATTGATGTATCTTTTTTAAAAAAAGTTGATAGAAATCATTCTTGTACCTGGTGGCATAGTTGCTCATCGTAGATACGTGTGTATATTGGTAGCTATTTGTGCAAGGATTCACTTTTTAATGAATGCTAACTCCTGGCTGGATAAAACTGGAAGTAGAAAAGTACAAGGTATCTGACTCTGGAGTACATAATCTAGTAGGAAAAATTATAAAGAAATGTTACAAAAATCACGTAAGAAGGGCAAATACATGTATTTTTCAAAGCACTTAACATTTCCACATGGTCACGATTTTTCTCTTCAGCAATTCCTGGCACTATTTTACTAAGAATGCAAGAAGTCAAGCACCTTCAGAATATATAAAAAACACCTAAAAGTCATCTTTAGTTCAGCCCCATCAACTTCACCTCTGGTGAGTTTCTGGTTTTGCCACAAAACATCAGATTAGCTCATTTGGGACAGTGACTTCTAATTGTGGTGAATATGCAAATGATACCAAAAATGTGCTTTGCTTTCTTTCACTTCCCTTGTGGCTGTTAGGCACCAGAACAGGGGAGAGTCAATTACCAGTCCGTTAGACCTACAATCCTACATCTCAGCAGTCAGCAGGGAGAGAAGCTCCTTCCTCAAATTACCCTCTTCTTTATGGACCGTTAAACAGCAAAAAGCACTAATTAACTGATCATTAGCTTGAGGATGAATGATTGTGTTCAGATTTACATGTTGCCTTTTATGTTCAAAGAACTGCTTAAGCATCAACTAATTAATCTGCAAGTGAAGAATACTTGTGGCATTACTTTATAATTAGACAATCTCAGGAGGCGACGTGGATTGCCAAGCCAGAGTCAGATGGCTTTGCAGGCCTCTGTCATTGATTTTTTTCATCACTCCGGTAAAATGGCCATCTCTGAATCCCATTACCAACTCATTACTCTTATTTACAAATAAATTTCCTTTTTTTTAAAAAAGACCAGAGTTGTATAACAGATGAGGAGATGGAAATAAAAACAAATGAATAACCAAGAGCATTGCTTTCCTTTCAGCCTTTTTGGGTCATTTTTTATTTCCCATAAACAACAAATTTAAGCAAGTCTATTTCATGACATGCAGTTGATGGCTCTTTCTCTCTCTTTTCGCCAACATTCTCTTGTTTGCAAAAGTTATGGCTGTGTGTGTGTGTGGTGGGAGGAGGGCAGAGAATTAGTACATCTTTCAGACTGTGGTTTTCTGGATGGTATGGATTTGAGATGGGACAGAGTCTAAATTAAAGAAGTGAAAAACAATTTTACAATATTTTTTGGGACGCAAACGTGTGTGATCATAAAAGTTATGTGTTCATACGTCGAGTCACTGGATATTGGGAATCCCTAATGGACATGACTAATAGAATGTATCTTTATAAGTTCATGCCAAAGTTACAAAACAACAGGAACTGAAAGTATTAGCAAAAGACCTTCCTTGCACTCCGCCATCGCGCCTGGATCCATTGGTTGATGGGCATGTGATATTATTAAAGAGTCTAAACGAAATAGTTGTTTATTAAACTTTCCCTGAAGCATAACCAGTCTTCTCGACTTCAATAAATACAAGTATGCAACAATAAATTAATTCAATTTGAGTTTCTGTTTGGGGTCGGTTTCCAACAAGCCTGTGTCAAATGCTAAACTTTCTCTAATTCAGAAACTAGCTTGTATATGAAAATTAAGTGTTTGTGGGGAAACTTCCCCTCTTGCATTTGGTTGAAAATTTACAGCTCAGCACTGATTCGTATTAACTTTCCTTCCCCCCTTCACTTAATCATAGTAAATTAAAGTGATGATCTGTTTTTAAATTAAGATTTGGTGAGTTGGTGTCTATGGGAGAAGTAACTTAATTTTCTCACTATGAGTATGTAGTTTCCAACCTTTCAGAGCGAGTATAGATTTACCATGCCACACAGGCATTGTGATAGGAAATTTGGAAAGTTGGGATCGTTAGGAGAGCTAGAAAGCACAGATTGCATTCAGTTGGACACAGATAAACAGAAAACATGCTTTTTTTTATTTATGAAATCAGAGATTAAATGAGTTGATGGAATCCAGCCTAGACATCCGCAAAAGCCAGAGTGGAAAATTATAGACTAAAATGCATCTGATATTGACGAGCATGGTTCTCTCCAAGAACCCTCTCTTTTTATTTGAATCAAAGATTCTTTATAAGCTCAAGCAATCCGTAGGACTTAAAAAAGAAAATGAAAATCTTCAAAACAGTGTGGCTCTCATCCAATGCTTTTGTGATTTTTTTTTTTTTTTCAAACGAACTGATTTAGACTTTTAATCATCTCACACCTAGGGATTTTTTTGGTTTTAATTTGGGAGGCAGGCCCACCAGATGAAACAACTCAGAAGAGCCAGAAGCAGCTTCCACTCCAGTTGGCCCTGTTCCTCTACCAAATCAAGAAAGTCCATTTTGCCTTGGGACTTTACAGTGTCCCCAAGAAACTCATAAAGGGACTCAGTGTTCTTCTTGCATTTGTATTCATTGGTCCTTTCGGCAGTCTGCTTCAACATTTGTTTAAGTAACTCCATTCACAGACAATTATTTGAGAGATTGGAGGATCCTCTTCCATGGGGAGCTACTCTTCCAGGGCCTCCTTCCAAGGAGACGATGGCTCTACGGTTCACAGCTCCCCGTACCTGGCTCCTTAAGCCTGCTCGGCAAAGCCAGTTAGCAGGGGATGTGTAGACTTGAGCTATGTTTGGAAAGTTTACAGGAGCTAAGAAAATGCCCTTTCAGGAGTCACTGGTGGCTTTTGAAATTGTAATTCATAGAAAGTCACACTGCTCACTAAGATTTCTTTCTAGAAGGACACAGAAGAGCCATACACAGGTAAAATGCTTGGGGCCAGAAATGTTTCAGATTCAGGAGTTTCCCAGATTTTGAAATATTTGTATAGACACTACTGGTCGAGGGCCAAGGCACTCACAAAGTTTTGGATTTTGGAGTGCTTTTGTATTTCCTATTTTCAAATTAGGAATGTTCAACTTGTATCAGAAGTTAAGAAATTATGTCTTGATTCCCTCTGAGTGGCTAATGTTAACACTATTGTTCCTTTTCCCCCCAAAGACAGAGTGGCACTGCTTAGAAAAATAAGTCTGTTAATTGACCTTTCAGAGTATGCCTCAGGTCCCTGGAAGAGTAAGGTAATAGAACAGAAACAAACAGACGAAAAACAAGCCAACAGACAACCAACCAACCAAAACACCCAGCAGCCACACAAAGAAAGCCAGTCCAGGAGAGTATTAAAGGCAATAAAGGAAGAAACAGCTAATTTCACTCATTAGCCAACGTCAGTAACTTTCCCCCTTAGGAAGAAGCTCTAGGTTGCTAGTTAATGTCATGTGAAGGTTTAAATGCAAAGGTATTAGAAAGCCCAGTCACTGGGGCCAACTGTGTGACCTTGATTCCTTAGGCTTTGGTTTCTTCATCTGTAGGTGGGTGGACAATTATCCCCTTGTGGAAGGTGACCAGCTCTCCCAGAGTGACCTGGACTCTCCTGATTTCAGCACTGGGAACCTGGGGTTCCAGGTTACCCCTGGATCCTGAGCCAACTGCTAAAGTT